TGAGCTAGCCCTCTCCTAATTAAACTCATCTATTTTCCTCTTGGGATCAGAAAAGCTTACATTTCTGCTATCATAAATGATAAGGCAAGTGCTAATTTGTGGGTCCCAGAATCACAAGCCAACTTACTGAAGTGAAAGGGAACCAAAGCAGTGCATTAGTTGAGTCAAGACTCGAGAGACCCAAGTATTGACCACCCATAAAGAGAAGTGCCAACAAATAAAATAAGTTTGAAGTAGAATTTTTAAGGGGGTAGATATGAGTTAGGCTTAACTTTGCAAATTAGCCTACACATATCAACACAAGCCAAAGGAAAGACAAGACCACATTGTTTTCTTTTTATATCTCTTCTTTGCAGGTTAGAACAACGAATCTATCCCTCAACATATCCAAGCTCACTTATTGCAGTTGAAAAGATCATCTCACAACTTACTTTAGTCTTTCCATAATTCCAAACATATGTGAAGTAGCACGCTAGAAAGCTTTATTGGGAGGTCACAGTTAGGCCTCCTATTCTCAACTATTAAGCTGCCGTCAACTAACTTTGCAAGACAGATGGACACCAAGAAGAAGGTAGACAACGAAATGCAAAATAAGAGCAATGATTCCCCATTTTCTTTAGTAAAGGCAGATTAAGCAAATAAAAGCTTATTCTTAGGATAGTCTTGACATCCTTGTAGACAGTTTCTATATGAGGCATCTAGTAGTCTCATCCCCAGCATCAGCATCGACAGCCAAGATCAAAACAATGCCGATTGAGCCGCTTTGGCAACCTACTTTCCTAGAAAAACTTCAAGGTCAACCTTTCTTTATAAAATCAAATGACTCAAAACTGAGGTTCAACAGTTTGCATCTGATAGTTACAGAACTCCTATTTTCCTTTCATTCAAAGAAAATCAAGCCTTCAAGCTTCAGCATTTCATATAAACTTCTTTATCAAAAATATTTCCTATAAAGGTAAAAGATGAAATATCTTCAGTGACGATCAGCTATCACTTTTTAGGTTCAAGAGATTTCGAGACACTTCCTAACGTAAATTATAGGACCACACACGTAGACAAGAATAAAAAGGCTCCTCCTTCAGGTCAATGAAAATAATTCAAAATGTTTGAAATCAGCCTAAAACAAATGATATTCACATTTAAAATCCAACAACATTTGCCTAGCAGTGCCAATATGGAGAACTATTATTACACCGCCATTGCATCCAAATATTCCCCTATCCATGACTCACCCCGCATTGTAATACACAACATCCAATTATGAGTTGCACATACCATTCACAAAATCATACGACTCACCCTACGACTCACCCCACGTTGTAATACACAACATCAAATTATGAATTGCAAATACCGTTGACAAAATCATACACTCATAAATCAAATCATTTCTAAACCTTAAGCCGGCACCAGACATAAGCATTTCATTCCAATCAAAACAAGACCAAACAAGCATGTGCATAATAAGTTATCAATATCAACTAAGCCTCAATAGTAACCAAATAAATCCCCTGTATCATTATGATTCACCAAACAGGCATATGCATAAAAAGTTAACAATATTAACTAAGCCTCAATTGCTAACCATATAAATCCTTTGTATCATTATGATGCATAAAAAGAGGACCAAACAAGCATATGCATAATAAGTTATCAAATCAAATAAGCCTCAATAGTTAACCATATAAATCCTCTATATCATTATGATTCATTAAAACTGACCAAACAAACATATGCATAATAAGTTATCATATCAACGTATCCTCAATAGTTAACAATATAAATATCATTATGAGCAAAAAAAGAAGACCAAACAAGCATATGCATAATAATACATCAATACCATCTTCACCTCAATTGTAAACTATATGAATCCATATTCATCATGATGCATAATAACCTCTAAAACAAATAAAAATCAAAACTTTGCAGCAACTAGACATGATCAAAGTAACTAACCGCAAAGAGAACGGTAGCAACAGCAGCCTGAACAATCTGTTGGAGAAGAACACCTTTAACAACCTCTTTTTTTGACACCAAATTCTTTTCATCCTCATCTTTCTTAGAATGCAACCTATAATTATCCATATTCCCAAACATCAAATACAATCCTGAATATACCCAATACACAACTATTGGTAAAAATGTTCCCAAAACTTCATCTGACACATATCCTCCCTTCCCCTGATGATCAATATTCACACTACCCACCATCTCAAAAATACAAAATCCTCACCAAAATATTACCAAGATCCCTCCTTTATACCTTCTTGAAATTACCCTTAATTGAAAAAACCCAGAAAAGAAACAAAATTGTTCCTTTTTAAATCTTTTTTTGAAAATTACCCTTAAAAAGGAAAAGAAAATCACTATCTTTTTCAAAGTAGCCTTAAAAGGAAAACAAATAAAATACCCAATAAAAGAAAAACTGAGATTTCTTTGAAACTCTGTAAAAGATTCAAACTTTGTATAAAATTGAAATTAGGGTTTGTAGGGAAAGAGAAGAGTCGAGATATATGGTTTGATTGAAATTCTCTTCCAAATAGAATTGGAAGGAATTTCAAACAGCAAAAAAAATTCAGAAAAAATTTAACAAAAATAATGAATTTTTCAGAGTGGATATTATTGTTTTGCAAAACTGGACTCCTATAATAAATTCAGAAAAAATTTAACAAAAAATAATGAATTATATTATGTATCTAAATTATTATGCAAAGTATATTGATTAAAAATTATTTTTCAAACATATATATTTAATCTTGAACACCTTTAACGAAATATCTGCTTTTGCAACTGATTGTCACTATTATTAACAATTTTCTGGAAGTTGTTTAGGTAAAACACTGTCATGACTCATGAAGTAGAAATATCTTGACTTATACAATATTGATCTTTTTGAACTATATGTACGTAATCAAAGACTCAATGAAAAGAACTATCAGACATCATGGCATGCGCCATGCATACTACTCCCTCCATCCAATTTTATATGGCACTTTTCAGATTTCAAGATTCAAACGAATCTATCTTTGATCGTAAGTTTTTCATAGATCCTTTAAACATTTTGAATTATCAATTATAGCGACTTATAGTTCTTTTTACGTAGTTTACAAATATATAAATTTCATTTCAAGAAATTTGAAAATTTCATGCGCAAAATCTCGGTCAAACTTAAACTATTTGACCCTCGAAAAACGAAAAATGCCACATAAATTGAGACAGATGGAGTATTTGATAGGTAAGGTAACTGTCATGAAAATGTAAAAGGAGAAAATAGCCAAATACCCCTTAATCTATTACCAGAGTACCAACTACACACTTATACTTCACGAGAAACCTATTACCTCCCGGAGAGGCAACAAAAATAATTTAAAACTTTACTTTATAAGTATTTCTTTTATTTCATTTTTTTTTTTTTGAATTTTTGTGTTTAGTTTTATTCTTATTTATTTTTCCATTTTTACCTTCATCCTCTTCTTTCTTTTCCTCTTTAACAGGGCAATATCAGCTCACCTCCACCATCAGGCCCGCATCATCCATTTATAACTAAGCCAACTCTCATCTTCAAATCACATACTTGTTATCATAGCTTCACTTCTTACCGATTTGAAAATTTGATGGTAACTCAAAATTAAAATCGAAAGTCAAGAGGATTGAACTTTAGTGTAAAAATGGAGAAGAATTCATTGGTAACAAACCCATTAACTTAAGAAGAATTTAATTACAAAATCATTGGGTAACAAACTAATTAATGGAGAAAAACCCATTTATTGAAATGGTTGCAAGAATCCAAACTACTTTTTAGGTTAACAATGTGAAATCGAAATCAACACTAGTCTCTCCGCTAGCCAACACCGATATCGTCATTTCAACTAACTAGTGTTGCTTACTAGTAATTTTTCCATTAACTTAAGAAGAATTTAATTACAAAATCATTGGGTAACAAACTAATTAATGGAGAAAAACCCATTTATTGAAATGGTTGCAAGAATCCATCAAACTTTTTAGGTTAACAATGTGAAATCGAAATCAACACTAGTCTCTCCGCTAGCCAACACTGGTATCATCATTTCGGCTAACTAGTGTTGCTTACTAGTAATTTTTCAAAGCATTGTTTTAAGTCCATCGAGATTTTGTTGATGTCGGATCTCCTCTAAAGGTTAGTCATGGAATGTATCCTATCTAAAAAGACATTTTTAAAAAAATCTGAAAAGCATTGTTGAAGACAAAGAAAAAGAGGAATTGGAAAATGAAAAAGAAAAGTAGAAAAGGAAAAAGCATAATAGAGAATTTTTTTTTTTATATAAAAAACATAATATTACATGGCAGGGCGCATGTAGATCACTACTTAGTGTGAATCTGGGTGTTCGATTTTAAGGGGATATATATTTCATTTTGAAAATGTCCAGGGGGTAATAAGACCTCGTAAAGTATAGGTGTATAGTTGGTAATCTAGTTATAGGTTGAGGGGTGATTTGACTATTTTCTTAATGTAAAAGTATAATAGATAAGCGTGTCATTTATCTTGGCCTCAATTAGCATTTACGATCTTTAATTTTGGGTGTGCACAAGTAGTATTAGTCATTTTGAAAAGTTGAACTTTGTATAGATGGATCAGACTCATTTATGGTTGTTTTTTTGAGCACCACACATATCACAATTGAACTTTCCAAACAATTATTGTCAGTAGTCAACTTTCCACACATATACCTTCTACTCACGGAGCTAAATAATTGTTGGTTGTAATTGACGCAATAAAATAATGGGATAATACATAAATGTGTGTGGCATAATATAAATCAATCGTTATGTAGGACGAATGTATCTCATGATATTTTGTCATGTATGTATGCCGTGTGTGTCTATTAATTCAACTTTATACTAATTTAAGTGTCTACTTACACACACCTTAAGTTGAGGATATTTAACGGTGGAATAGTAAGTTAACTATGAGATGAGGAAGTGAAGAAAGAAACCATAATACTGTGTATTGTATGCCAATTGCTCTTCTTTCCCAGTCCACAACAATTTTAATTCTTGTGTCAACATTTAACCTTATATTAATTTATTTAGATTTGTCATAGTGAAATTATTTTTCCATGTGGAGTGTCACATGACAGAATTTCAAAACAAAAGAGAGAGGGCAATATACACAACATCATAAATTAGTTGTTTCCCTAACTATTGAGTGATAGTTCAAGAAGGAAACTCAGACTCTCAATAATTCAGATATGAAACTCAAAAGATTGAATAGTTTAGGTGTATTTTTGATTATTTAACTCTTTCATTAATAAAGGGGAAAATAAGCCCTATTATTGTTCGTCAAGAATGGACAAATGCAATTTTTGGTTTCCGGCCATTCCAAGACCAAATTAGTCAATTTGGAAAGTTGAACTTTGTATAGATGGATCAGACTCGGTTAGGGCTGTTGGATGGGACGGGGAAGTGGGATCGGGTCGGGTCTAAGATAGAGGAAATTGGGGTTTGGGGGTTGGGGGGGGATAGGGTGTCACAACCCGATATTTTTTTTTATGTATATATAGTTTGGCATTTACCCTTGATTTCTTTGTATGTTTACATCTCTATAATTGTAACATCCGGCGATTTGAAATAACTTTAAAGAGGCCTAGAATTGGAAAATTTTCTTTTTGGAAAGAATTTTTTTAAAAAAAAATCTGGAAATTTGGCCAAGTGTGGGAAATCAGTGAGTTTTGGCCAACTTTGAGCAGTCATATCTATTAGCTACGGATGATTTAGGAGTAGTTCCAGTTATGTTTGCGAAGCTTGTGGAATGGTCTTTCCAACGCCACCGAGTTTTCTTGATTCCGAGTTCGTATGGGTGAATTATGTCCTTTGGAAGTTGGGCAGTTGGCAGGGAATCCGTCCGGAAATTTGTAAGGGTATTTTGGTCTTTTCCCTAGCCTTTTATTTTGGTTATATAAATGTGTTAGGCTGATTTTTTTGATCAGTTTTACCATTTTAAAAGAGTGAGAGTGAGGGTTTTGAGAGAAGAAGAAGAGAAGAAGAGGAGATCAAACAAGTTTCCGTCGTGGATATCGTCGGT